CGAAGTAATAAATTTGTGAAAATTGGCCATATCCGAAGCGCACCGCGGCGCGCCATATGAGCCTTCCCGGTAAGTGTACTTCATTAAATTTTCTATTTCAAAAATTTGCATACTATATCAATATTATCAAAATAAATAAAAATAAATAAAAACACTCATTAAAAAAAAAATTATTGCTCACCTCCGGGAGCGAACTTGGATCTTACGAATTATTGATATAGTATATTGATATAGTATGCAAATTTTTGAAATAGAAAATTTAATTTAATGTCACATTCTAAACATTAATTTAAATTTAATTTTAAGGGAATTTTAATTCAAGTAATAATATTTGAAATAATAAATAAGTAATAATAATAATAATATATAAGTTATTTGTAATGGATAACATATAAAGGTAACGTATCTAAATATCATCAAAATAAATAAAAATAAATAAAAACACTCATTAAAAAAAAAAATTATTGCTCACCTCCGGGAGTGAATTTGGATCTTACGAATTATGAAGCAAGCACTTAACTCACGAAGCCAACTACACTGGTTGGAAGTACACTTACCGGGAAGGCTCATATGGCGCGTCGCGGTGCGCTTCGGATATGGCCAATTTTCACAAATTTATTACTCCGAAACTAAGGCCTATTCAATTAAACGTCGGGACACGTATCTTTTTTTTCATCTCCAGAATAATTAAAAAAATTGGGGTCGAAATCCCAGGGTGTCACCTGGTCCTCCCCTTGTCAGTGTAAATTCGAGCCAACTTTTTCTTTGATAAAGTTTTATGATTCCTTGTAAAGAGAATACATTTTTTTTCAGTACACAATAATGAACATTCCTCAAATTTATGATGACTACATTTTAAAACTATTATCAAGAAAATATTCCTTGTTGAAAATAACCATTACTTAATTAACACACAAGTAAACCTACTCAAAAGTTACACTCCGATTTCTTGCTAATTTGACACAAATGTAGAAGTACGAAAAATATTTAGGTCATATTTTTTCACTTTGGCCCACTTTCACCACTTTTAAGTTTTACGGGCAATTTATAGCTTTTTAATGCTTCTCACTCCTATCATCAACAAGTGTACCTTTTGAGTAGGTTAGTTTACTTGTTAGAAGAAGAAAAATAAAATCGCTTTTCTCAGCAGAACGATATTTTTTGCGTGTATCGCAGTTTTCGCTCTGGGGATAACACCAATGTAGCGTGTTATTTCGAGAACACGAGAGCGTACGTTTCCAAACATTATTCATCATTGATGAAACGTGCATTAAGATGCAATAATTCGAATTGATAGAGATCATTGGCCGAGACCGTTGTCGCTATATTCTGTAATCATTGGGACGCCCGATAATCGGCCGTTCAATTAGCCGTCGACCTCTAGTTACACGCAAAGCGCGAGGCGGATTATTGAGAGAGCTAACTAGAGTAACCGGGTTTCAATGGGAGCACGGTGGAAACACGGTGGCTGGAGATTCAGCAGGAAGATACAAATACCTGAGATTCTCTCGCTCTCTTCACCGATTACGACTCCTAACGCGACCCAGCACAACGGCTGATTTCTGCCTTGTACTCTGCATGCGCTAAATAGACGCTAAATAGCGATCGCGAGGAGTAACTTTAGCTGGACGACTGACTGTCCGACCATCCGTCTGTCCGTCTGTCTGTCTATCTGCTACAATAGTCCCGCGCTTCTATCTCGCGTGCACTCGCCAAGTTCCTGCGATATCTGAAGTCTCGGAGAGAGAAGACTCTCGTTTTCCTCGGGCCTCGTTCATGTGAATGATCGATTCCCGTGTTAATTCCAGAATTCGAATTGGAATAGCGCAGAGAAGGCTCGCATCTTGAAGCCACGTTACAAATGACAATAAAGCAAACTCAAAGCTTTCGAGATCGCTCGCAAGAAGTCTCGACAATTAATTCGAGCGATTTTCTTTCTCTGCCCCGCGTGCAGGTTCAGCGGTAGCGATGATCGGAGCCAATCTGAGGTTCGGCATCGGCGCTTCCGGAAATGTCACGTCCAACACCACCAAGGTGTTCCAGTGTCACCCCGGTGGTGTGACCGAAGCCACCGTCATATTTAGTCTGGGCGCGTTGGGGATGGGGGCGAATATTATCCTCATGGCGCTGATACTGATGAAGCGACAACTGCGCAGGTACGCAAATACGTAATAATAATCCCACGTCGAAGAACGGCGCGCTTTATGAACGCTTTGCACCCTGACTGATCCGAAAATCCCCCCGGCGCGTCGTGACGCGCTCGAAGTTGGTTCATACGTGCAAGACAAAAGCCGCTTCGACACACGCACAAACACCGCGCGTTGCCGGCGCTCCGGAAATTACACGATCGTGACTTTTATCGGAAAGCAAGCGACGGACGCCCGCCGTATCAATAGTTGTCACGTGAAACCTATTTCATGCGAAATATTCACTTTTTTTATTCAAAGTTCGATCCAAGTTTCGCGATTGAATTACGTGACATTTAAGCGGGTGACATGCAGAGAAACGTAAGCAATATGACTTGAGCAGTAAGAAAATTGTCTATTGTTTTACACTGAATATTCAGTAGTCGATTTTTGCCAACAATCATAATAATGATAAATATTATAAGATTTTTTCATACATTTGTCATATATCTAGGTATGTTATGTAAACTTGTAATAGACATTACAGTCACTATCTTTAAAAAAGTATTGCCCCATAAAGGATTAATAGTCACTACTTGAAACTTGTCTTGGGTGAGATACTTAGATTTGAATTTAGAGTTGGATGTAAATTTCTCAGTCAAATCGCGACTATAAATGTAATGTCGCGTATATTATATGTGATTCAAGTAAGTGAACTCAAATTTAACTCTAAATTCAGATCTGAGTGTCTCATTAAAGACGAGTTTCAAGTAATTATTAATACGAGGCTCAAAGAGAGAGAGAGAGAGAGAGAGAGAAAGAGAGAGGAAAAAGAAGAGTTAGGGAAAGAGGATTCTCCGTGTAATATGAAAAAGTGTAACTGCAGCGTGCATCATATCGCGTGTTTGTATCGCATATGTCTGTCTGTCTCTCGTTTCTGTCATGTTGTTCGTGTATATTGGTACGAGTTGAACGCGTTCGTTTGATAGAAACATGTTGCAATAAAGTGAAACGAATTTGCCGCATCGTGCGCGTTCGTAACGTCTTTCCCCTCTTTCCTTTGTTATTGTTATGTGCTCTCTAATAAAATTTATCAGCTAAGGATGAATAAGAGTTATGTCACGTACGTGGGCTTACCCCAATCTCGCAAGATCATTCCTCTCGGCCGAAACTTATTAAACTTTATTTCAGGTTTGAGTAACCGCCGCACGTGCTGTTTACCGAATAAAGTTTCCGCCGTATGCCGTTGCTTGCGAGTAAACATAATATTGACCGATCGAAATGTACTCCTACCCGCTCTATATCTCTTGCTCTCGATATTCCGATGCGAGATACGCGCAATATAGTGCACGTGACATGGCGTTGTACCCCTAAATGTAGTACCGTACTCTCGGAATGCGTCCCACTATCGATTTAGCATTGACTTTCAGCTAACCGAGACATTGGTGTCTCTTTCGGTCACAAGTGATTGCAAATGAAGTGATCATCATGAATTAAGTGTTTCAGCTGTGAGAAAGACCTTAGTTTGTCCCATTTTGTAAAGAAACCTTGCCGAATTTTATTGACGATTTACAATACACGGTATCTCTTTCGGTCACAAGTGTTTGCAAATAAAGTGACTATCGCGAATGAAGAGTCCCGTCGTGAGAATCCCTTAATTTGTCTCATTTTGTGGGGAAACTTTACGGAATTTCGCAACACTTCGCGTGGATTTTCTCGTTTTAAGCACAATTTAATTATAAAGCGGAGATTTCTCGGACCTGTATATGATCTGGAAGACGAATCACGTCGAGGACGCGGTATCAAGTTCGGGATTAGCGAGATATACGTGAAGTCTCGGCGACAGAGGGAAACGCGGGAGACGGTGAAGTAACGTAGAGAGTGAGAGTGAGAGAGAGAGAGAGAGAGAGAGAGAGAGAGA